ATATGTTCTAACAAAACAAGCGCTACTTAAAACAGACATAAAATTTCCACTCTAATTTAGCGACAATTATGCAATATGCAGGTAAGATTTTTGCTAAAAATATTAAACTATATATTTTCTAGGCATGCATATGCCCTGTTAATTGAAGGCTAAACAAATACCAAAAAAGTTAGTGTCTTTTATGCGGCAAAAAAGTTAAAAATCCATTTTTGAAGCTTATTTTTCTAACAACCCAATTCCTTTCTTTGAATCTCTTCAGTTTTATTTACAAAACAGTTAAGAAATTAAACAGAAACCAGCTGCATACAAGAGGCAATAATAAAGTTTAAACTTTTTCTACACCGTTAGAATTGCAAACTTTCAGAAAAAAAGTTGCATTTCTACTACAAAACTCTTTACACTTAAATATTGTATTTGAATTGTAGGCGTTTGTTTAGAAAGCTATAACCTTTATCCAAGAAACTGTTTTGAGAGCAAAACGTGGCTAAAATATCCCGAAAGATGATTCATTACCCCAAAAGAAAAAGGACACCCAAACAACATTTTGAACAAAACGAAACAAATAGTTATGATCAACAAATTTTCTGAACTCCACCAAAATTAAAAAAGAAAAATAATTACTAAAACCTATAAAGTTTAAACTCATCCAGCAAATTTCTTTTCCTGCCGGTGCCTCCAAAAAACAGCTGGCTTCTGATACATTAAAATCCAGATGAGTAAATGCATCAACTTACAGTTATTTATCAAACGAGAAAGCGGTATACAAGAAAGACAACTGTTACAAAATTCCACTATTCCTAATCTTCATGTAAACTTTTATTTCAATCCAAAAGTTTAAAGCCTTATTAAGTTACGAATATCGTTCTTAGAAGAATATAATTAGTAACACTAATCATGTCTTGTCGTATATGTCCGTCTTCGTTCTGCACAATAAAAAGTTTTGTTTATAACTCATTGACAGTTTTAACTAAGTGAAAAAAAAAAATTTGATGCAATAATCAATCAACAATTCCGACTAAGTTTTTTGCATCATCAGAAGGAGTAGTGAGTATCGGATAAAAAACAATAACACAAGCAACATTTGATTTTTGAATTCATTTTATTGCTGTCAAAAGAACCAGCAAGAAATAAAATCTGCAAGAAAGAAAACAATATTTTTTATGCGATATGCTTCTCATTTTTTTTTT